TAACAATTATGCTCACTGTACTTTAGAGAAGGCCAATTTTCTGGAATACTTAAGGATAATATATATAAAATGTAATTATACTTGGATATGAGTAAAATATAATCTTTTCATTAGTGTGATAAGAATTAAGGTAATTCATCCACAGAGAATTATACAACTCTGATGTAAGCAAAGAAGAATAAAAAGTTAAACACCTGGAGACAGAATTAAACACAGAGAGAGGTCTGATTTTGCAAATTACCTTGAATGGCCACATTAGTCCATGCCTCACTATAAGAGGAAACACCAGGTATGATACAAAGTTAAAATGAAACTGGGAAGGGGGTCCAGGAACACAGCTAGATGTTAGAAATTTGCCCCTAAATGGGGATGGATGAATAATTGCATTTACAGTTCACTTAATCCTGGAGCTCATGGTACTTCAGGGAGAGAAGAGGCATCCAAGTAGAAGTGACTGGTAGGGACACTGAGGACTAAGAAACAGCTTATAAGGAGGAAGAAAGACCAGATCAGGTGTGTTCAGGACGGGATAACCACAGACACCGCATCTGTGTGGAAGGTCAGTGAAACACATGTGAAGTCGTAGTCCCCAAATTATATAGTTATGTAAAAAAATGGCAAATCAACAAAATTTGGCAGGAGAGAAAGATTGTTGAACTGAGAAGTGATCAGAGTCAGGAGCCTTGGAATAGTCCTTACCCTAAAGAATTCTTAGATACAGAAGGGACTAGATTTCATCAACATGCGAATGGAAGGTTAGGGCAATCTTTTCTAACTCTTAAAAGACAAGATGATTTCAAAAAAAACTGGAGGGTTTGATCATGTCTTTTTCACACATAGTGAAATAAATTATAGCAGTCAGTATACTTTTCCTTTTCTTAACTTTCTCTTCTACCGTCTAGTTGGAATAAATTGGCTTGATCTGTATATACAAACATTGGGTTAAGTAGAAAACCTAAATAATTTAACTTAAAAATTTTAACACTTAAAGTTTTTGTGAAAGCTGAACAGCATTCTTAAACAATATTTCTAAAGCTTTAAAATGTCTCCCTACAAACTGTAATACTCATTTTTATTTTCAAAAAAATAATTTTTAATAACATCTATATTACTCTATTAACCTAAAACAAAAATTTGTTTGACAAAACATGATTCAGAAGGCAATAACAGAAGTAGCCATAGTAAACTATAGTTCTACTAATGTGAAAAATATAGCATTGACTTCAATTAAGAAGATAAAAGCCTTTTGAAAAAATAAAGTTCCGGTACTTTGTTTTAGTGCTCAATATGTAAGCTCACGTCATATTTAGCATGAATCTAAACTTTTTGCCTCCACTACAATTCTCTATAGTGAAGGACACCAGCTGGAGTATGGAAGCCTGGAGGGCACAGATGCTGTTTGGTGCTGCAAGGCCAGTGGGCTGCCTGCTTCTCAAGTGCAAGACAACATGCTCAGTCAGCAATGTAGGCATTCCACAATAATGCAGCACACCAAGGGCTGCAGAGTGGTGCTTTGTTTGTACATAAAATAAATTGGGGAGAAATTGTTCATAAACTATGTGTTCACTAAAAGTTGCAGTGGGTAAAGGAGCTGTAAGAAAAGATTGTTTGTGTGGACTCAGGATAGTGATGGGACTCCAGCCTGAATCTGAGCTGAGTTTGTGTGCTAACCTAGTTTGAGCTTAAAAGTAGGTCTCTCACTCCAAATATCTTTGGAGTAGAGTTAGACATCCAATTACTGGTTAACTCCAGGAACACACAGTGGTAAATACAACACTATGAATAAAGCCTATGATTTTATCAGTTTGAGGACCAGAGCATAGCTATCTTCTTGTTCATCAAGAATGTGGTTGTCTAGAGTTGATTTTCTGAAAAAATTGGAGCATCCCTTATAACTACAGTATTGAGCTCATGCCTCATATCACACAACCTCAGAAAATAGGGTTCATGGACATCAGTGAATTGTCAGGAGACACAAGTCATGGATCTCATTCATTACTTTGTCAGCAGCCAAAACAGGAGTCTAAGGACTTGATCATTTGTTGCTGGCTTAAACTGCACTTTATAATTAACCTGCTTGTACATAATCATCTTTGTCCAAGAAAACTTACACCATAAATATCCATCAATATTTTGGTGAAACTTAAGTAACTTAACAGATAAAATATTTTTTTCTATACAGTTGACATAATAGCTGTAAATTCTAAAGCCCTATATATGAACTGTAAAATAAACATTACAATATGCTGCTTTAACATTGCTGTAACTGATTTTATGTCAAATATTTCTAAATGCAAAAAAAATATTAAGGAATTACTTTAGTTATTTTATGCTTAAAATGTGGGATCCTCTTAAGAGGAGATCTCCTAAGATATTACTTTCCTATTTGGTTATTAACTAAAATGATGCTATTATACTGGATTTCATATGTGTGCCATACCTTGCTGTGAAAGCATAAAACTAGACTCATTGGGGAAGAGGCAGTGTGGCTATAGAGAAAAAGTGCCATATGTGAAAGCTCACTTTATGCCTGTTGAAATTTTTGTGTTTCAGGTCTCCCAGGGACATGTCCATTGTGCTATTGTGCAATTTTATCAGCATGAACTTCTGCTGAATATTTTCCCTTCTTTTCAAAACCCATATTTTGGTATTGCTAACTTCAGAACTTAATGTTGAACATCTGTGGCCATCCACCTGGGAGCCATAGAAGATGTATCCTGAAGATTATCTACATTTTCTAATCTTAGAGAATGCTACAAAATGAGAAAAAAAAGGTTATATATTTTTCCTCATCTGGAATTTTTTGAAAGGAACCACTATCTGTTTCCTTACAAAACTCACCAAAAAAGTGAACCAATATTTCTAAAGCTTTTAAATATCTCCCTACAAATAATAGAATTCTCATTCATTTTTGTTTTTAAAAAATGTTTAATACATCTGTATTTTGTATTAAGACATTGCAAAAATTTGGAGCAATATTTTCAAAAGGCTTTAGTAATTATATGAATCAAAAGATTTATAGAAAACATGCAATATGAAAATTGCCTGCTGAAGATGAAATGTACAGACCAATTTGCTGCTGAATTGTTGTATAATGTAGATTATGAATTCCTATGGATTAAAAAAAAATCAGTCTGCAGAGTCAATGCACTTGAGGTGCTCCATAGGCACATTCTTTTGACTGTCATCAAATTATGATAAACACCCACGAAGTGCTTTCTGTGTGCCAGGAACAGTTGTGATTGCTTTACACACATTAAGTGATTAAAACTTCACAACTGTAAGTGACAGGCAATTTTACCATTTTATGGATGAGTCAGACATTGAAAGATTGAGTTGCCCTAGGGCAGGCCACTGCAGGGCCCCTGAATGCACTGTGCCCTCTCTCTTGAGCATTTTCTTACATGCAACAGAATAGTTCTTACTTTTTAACTCTTTACTTTGAAGCACAGACTTAGATGATAATGCCTTTTCAGATATTTTAAATTTAAACACAGATATTTATGATAGGGCCAAGTATGCATAGTAATGGGACGAAGAAAAAAGTTAACTCCAGCCCACTGGCATGATGGCCAAATTTTTAACAAATTGAACTTCAAAGTTGCTCCAAGTCAGTAGCAAAATTGGATCTCACTTCTTTATCACAGGCCCTTTTCAGCATTTGCAAAGAGGACTGGCATCCCCATGAGGGAGGAGAGAAGTGAGTATTTTTAACTTTCGTCCTCAGAGGAGTGTGAAGTGCTGGGCAGAGCTAACAAGTCAATGTTGGCTCAACAGGAGCCTTTGTAGGTCAAGGTAAAGAGGAAAATGTATTTTTTTTTTTTGTTATGTTCCTCCTTTTCTGTCTTAAGGGACAATATACAAAGCAGATTATTACAGAGAAATTAAGCAGGCAGGGCATTTTCACGTGTTAGAAATACAGTTGAAGGGAGCAATGCCATGTGTTGGACTCTGAAATAAGAGCTACAACACTTCTGTTATCAGATATAAAACATTCCAAATACCCTATTTGCTTGACTTGCCAGAAACATGGCGTCTTGAATCTCAACTAGCATTTGTAATAAAAAAAAAAAGGGTTATGTGAGGCATAGACATGGAAAATATTGTACTATAAATGCAGTGGAAATAAAAAAAAGATGTCAAATCACTAACATGACTTAGTAATTAAACTGTGTCAAAGCCCCTGCCAAGAAGAGTTCATAATTTGGAAGCTGTAGTTACTATTGACCTGATTTTACAATTGAGATCCTGTCTGCCTTTTAATTTGGAAACAAAATTGATCACTGTGTTCTATAAACAAGGCTTGTCAAGCTATTACTCTGCAACTGCTTTGCAAACACATTTATTTAAGAGCAGCATGATTTATGATACTGTGGAACAGACAAATTATTTCATTATTTATGTTTGAACTACTTTTAAGGAAGTGCTCTAGAATTCTTAAAACATTACAGAATTTAAGTTTCTAAAAATACTTGTTTTTAAAGACGGCTATTTTTACTCCAATATATTGACTTGTGCTTGCAAGTGCTGCCTTAATGTTTGAGGTATTCATTCTTCCTATGTCTTAAGAAATCATTATAATGCTCAATTTTTTAAAAACAACATTCAATATTATATTCTCATATTAGTGGAGAAGAGTTGCAGTTTAAAAGGTTTATATAATGTGCATTTTTTGTATAAATTATTTCCATTAATCACTACCATTATGAAGGGCAACCAAAACATTAATGCAAGTGGTTAATCTACCTCTTTCAGAGTTTCTAAGACTTTTATCCACCTACTTGCAATTTCTTATAGGTTTTCTGAATATTTTAATTGTTTAAAATAGAATCAAATGACTTTAAGACATTTTTATCCCATCTGTCAGAACAAAAAACTGTTACTGCTACTTCTACATTTCAAAAATTCGTTCATTTTTGCATGAGGATAACACTGATGGTTGATTTCTAGGCAAGAATCCAAAGAATTCCTCTATTCTTGACAATTTAAAGTAGTCCTACCTTTTTCAGCATCTGTTGTTTCTTGTTCATCTGTACATGGAGTCACTTCTGGTTGCTCCATAGTTATGGCATCTTCTTGGTTTGATGAAATTTCTAAATAGAGTGAGATGGTAGGATACTCAGGGATGTTTGGGTTGAATTTATTGATAAACCTGGCTACAGGAGCCTCCCTCATAGTGCAAGGGGTTAAAAGAACAGCATTACTTTGCTATCTGTTCAGGGAGGAGAACCACATGGCAGACCTCTCCTGGCCCGCCTGTTGCTTCCCTCAGCAGTGTATTTCAGTAGATCTGCCTGTTCTGTTCCCCACTGTGTCTCTGGTGAATCCTCTCACTCACTCCTGCACCTCTGGCCTCTACCCCAATTCCTAAATACATACATAAATAACTCTTAATTAAAAAAACATTGACTACAGTATAGAGAGCTAAGGTTCTTTTTTTACCCTGAGTTTCAACAGGCACATGTGCATAATCATTGCTATTTAAAACTCACATACACGCCCTCCATATACACAAGTTATATACATAAGTCATGGTTCAGTTTTACTGCATCCTCTGATAATATATTCTGGTTTCAATACCTTCTGTTTCCATATATGAGCTCTGGGACTCTGCTTCAATCTTTATTTCATTTTTTGTTGAATCATTCTCTTGTCCTGTTAAAAAACAATGAGTGAAAAAATAAATGTGTTGTGAATGGCCAGAGCTTTATCCCTGACTTGAAAGAACAAACATTTCAGTAGAAAACAGTTTTGAACCAAGGTGGAGAATGAAGATATCATTTTGCGAAATGTATTTTCAAACTTGTCTATTTTATGAGATAACCATATTAACTTAGGAAAAAACCTGTTTGAAGTGATAGGTATAATTAACATTTACCTTAATAGTGCACTGCACATTGATGGACAACAACTGCACACTTAGAAATTTTAAATAATTTCTAGGTTGTGTGGGTTTAAGTACATTTAATTTTTCTTTAGGATATACATATATTCCATATTAAGAATTCCTGGAAAATTAAGAGGTCACTTGTGTTTTCATTCTGTTTTGACAACAGAATCATTAGACACGAGTAATATGAGCACAGGGATTGTACAGCTTCATAGCTCTATCATTCTCTGAAGACACCCACTCACATAACCAAGGTCAGGGGAGAATCCAGCCAACTCTCGAGGACTCCAAGGCCGATTACCTAGTAATGGATTTTCTTCCATACTCCCCCCACTTCTTCTCTTCCCCTCCTCTGTAGAGTTTTGAGTATTTTAGTGCTGATTAAGAGAAGACTAGTCCCCAGTTTTGATACAGTATTTTAGCAAATATATTTAACTATTGAATTAAAGACAAACATCTTTAATAGGAAAGAGCACACCATACAAAACTTTTTCCTAGAGCCCATTTACACTCGACTTAGCTTTGGAGACCATATATAGAAATGATACCAACATATTTAGTCTGCAAGATATTGAACGCTACTAAACGACAAATGTGTCAGGTACTGGGAGTAGATCTCAAATAATGTAGTTCTAGTGCTGGTTCTTAAAATGTGTACAGTTTCAAGTACACAGGTATTAAAAGTGGACAAAGCTCTTTATGGTCTGGTAAACAGAATTTCAATTTTTTGAAAATTTTACTATTTGCAGGTTTTTAGATCTCAGGAAAGACAGGCAACTAATATATTGGACAACAAAATCAAGATTGAAAAGCCTTTAAATAGACAAACTAAAGCAAGATGAAATTTAGCAAAAATATAAAACTCTAGAGTCAAGTCTATAAATTCAGTCTCAAGAAAGGAGGTGGGAGGAGATCAATTCTATTCCTGGTCTACTTAGATAAATACTGGATGGACATCAGAATGGCTGGATAGATGGAAGGATTCTATTATCAGCCACATAGAAAGTGACGGGAATATTTTCAGTTTATCTCCTAGCAAATATCTTACTTGGATAACTACTTGTAGCTATCCAAACAAACAGGAAACTTAAATGTAGAAATATAAAAGGAGAATATTAAAGGAAAATATATTTTAACTTTATAAAAGATATATACTGAAAAGCAAAAAAAAGTATCATTTTGCTTTTGTGTTTGCAATGAGTTGTAAAAAATAAGGAAATTACAGATAAATTAGATGAAGAGGAAATTGGGACAGGAGGAAAAACCTGTAAGTTAACTAATTCATGCCATCTGCAGCAACATTTGAAATAAGCCAAAAAGAAAAATTACTGGATGGTTTCACTCATAGCAGGAGTGTAAGGGATCAGGAAAAAAATTTGATAGATAGACAGTAATTGTAATAAAGTAAAAATGAATATCAACTAACAGCTGTAAACCAGTGACATTCTATGGGGGTGGGGAGGGAAACAGGATAAAAACTGGGGCAGGGAGAGCACACAGGACTATGGTGATGGCACATGGGTGAACTGGTGGTGGGAAGTCCATGGGGAGTACAACCAAGATGAAAAAAATGTACAAAATGAAGAATGATGTAAATATATATATATATATATATATATATATATATATACACACATATATATACACACACATATATACAATCACAGTCACAAATAACTGAAATTGATATTATAAAAGAGGATAAACACTATAGATACATTAATTTTGTAGAGATCAAACTTGAATTAAAATTTGCTCAGAAAGCCAAAATAGTGAGCAAAATGATTCATAGAAAGGTAGCAGACACATGAGAGAAAATAATGATCAAATTTCTTATTGAAGTACTATTAGAAGCCTAAGAAGCAGCATTTTACCTAAAATGGCAACCACTGAATAACATTATGAGGTTTTACAAGATTGTAGAAAGATATCATTTCACTTTTTATAAGTACATAAACATCACATGCATATTTTTATTAGTAGGGATGAAAACTGGAAAACCCTGACTCAAATGTTAACATTATCTCTGAGTGGTAGAGATGGTATGTGAATTATAGGATTTTTACTTTCCTAGTCTTCATCTTATATGAAATAACAATTGTATAACTATAATAATTATAGTTTAAAAACATAAAAATGCTTTCAGTGATATCATTAGTTAATTTTTTAAAAAGGTGTCAGTGTTTCTGTGTGTGTAACTGGTTAGTCAGTTACTTTGACCTAGTCAATTTGAATTCTAGAATAGAATACCCTTGAAAAATCCAACTGTTGAGTAAGATCCTGAGTGTTCATCTTTTTTATCTTCTGGCAAAATCACTATTTCCACTTCTTTCTATATCACAAACTGATTCACCATATTCTAAACACAACTGTTTCCTGCATTGTTGTATATTTAGCATATGTTCTCAGTCATTTCTCTCCACTTTCTATTTGGTGAAATACTCATCTTTCAAGGTGGAGACATGACTATATCCTTTCTGTGTAACAGGCCAAGTTACTAGGAATTATTGATCATTTTTCACATCCTTGTTTATTAATTCCTTTGCTCTTTCATCTATTTATTATTCTCCTTAACACATTGTAATGCAATTGTGTCTTTGTCTCTTACATGATTGAGTGTTATGAAGATAGAAACTGTACTTTATTCATATTTCTCTTCACAGGACGTATGTATATTTAATTGATCCGTCTGGTACTCATCAGTTCTGTAAATAGTAATCAAGGACTGTCACATGCCTTTCATTGCATCCCTTAGCAACAAGATTAGTGCCTTAGCCTACTAATGTCCCATATGCTGTTGAAAGAAGAACTGGGTATTTTACACACATGATAAATGCTTTGGGCTTCAATTTAATTATCTTTAAAAAATCAAAAGCAAAAAAGTTAGATAAGATATGTCTTCTGGTTGAAATTCTAGTCCCCATTGACATGTATTCATTGGATGGGTGACATTCAGAGAGAACCTTCACTGTTGCTGAGCAAACTCCTTCTGTCTTTGTGACTTTGGGAAACTGAGCCTCAGACCTCCTCTCAGGTCACTGCTGAAAACTTTAGCTCATTATTATGACCTAGCTTTGTCTGTGCAATGAAGGAAAAGAACAGCGCAAGAAGAGTAGAAGCATCTCTCTGTATGCCTGTGTGTCGTCAGCCCCAGTGCCCCACTTGATACATTTTCAGAGGAATCAATCAGGAATGAAGAGAACACAATTCAACAGGGTGTGGGCACCAAGGTGACAGCCGAAAGCAACTGATGGATACGAGGGATTTTCTCCCACTACTAAAGGCTGGCAATTCACTTGGAGTATGAAAGTCCACTGCAAAGCTATTTTGGAACTTTTCTCATACACGTGCCCACTCTTGATCTATTTCACCTGTTTACTTAACATTTTGGCAATTTTAAAATGAAATTAAACATAATCTTATTTCCAATTACTCTGAAATAGAACAGTAAAACATGGGGAAAGGCTCAGGGACTATTGCTGTGCAATTCAAAATTAATATCTTTTTATTCCCCAGTCAAGCTTGAATTTGTCATATGACAGAAAAATGATCTGTGAACTCCTTGCCCTGTTCCCATGCCTGCTATGTGCTAGTGATGACTCTGCCTTTCTCTTCAGTGCACTCAGACTCCACATTTCATCTTGCTTTCTTGACCGCAAAGGGCAAGTTTGATGTTTGCCTCTCCACATCTGGTCTCCTTGAATTCTATCTACCATCTTCTGCCCTCAGCCCTCCGGGTGAGAGAAGCAAAAGAACATAAAGGATCCTTCTCTCTCCCTTCCTGTGTGTGTATGTACACACATATATGTACACACATATACATGCATATATGCATATATGTGCATACATCTACACACATATTCATACTACTTGAGGGAGGAAACAAACAGATAAGTCATCCACTTTTCTTTAGAAGTATATCACATGGTTGTTTCTTGGAGACTTGGTAATTTAGTTTGGCTCAAATAAATGCTTTAATTAATTGCATACAAATTAGTCTGAGGCCCAAAGTCTGGCATTAAACATTTTTTAGGATAAACCTAAACTCACTTCATAAGTGGACAGTTTTTAACAATAGTGACAGAAATATTGTTTTATTATTTGAAGATTATTAGATGTTCAGCTCCTCTTATGACACAAATCTTCACTTCTTTATTCTTAAAGTTAATGAAAATTGTATCCTTTTGTTAAGCATGAAACTTGATGACTTCTATTCAAAGTTCTACTTTTTTGCCATGTCTAAAATTATCCCAGATTGAGATTAAATATTAATCTCAGTTTACTGTGAATTTTTATTACCTTCTTGTCAACCCAATTTTCTTCATACTTCAATAAAACTTCCTTTTCAGATATAAAATATTTCTCAAATTATTCCTGCAGTTATAAAAGAAAGTCAAGCTCATTGGATAAGTTTTGAAAAACAAGTATCGAGAATTATATTTACAATTAAGAGATTGATGTGTTAGCTTTATAAACTACCTTTGTCTTCTGTGTGTATACATATATATTAATATAAAGATTCTACATGTTTTATATCAGTGAGCATGTCTGTGTACATGCCTATATATTATACATTACAAAGTATAGAAATATATAAATTTTATACTTTTAATTTTTTGTTCAAAATGTTTTTCATGTATAAATATTGATTTAATTGATTTTTCATAATTTTATATTAATGTAATTTGTTTACAACACTGAATATGATTAAGAAATATAGGATCACACCTCTTCAATTCATATTTTATTTGTTTTTTTAAAGATT